AAAAAAAAAAAAAAAAAGCAGTTTTACGTTTGTTTTGTTTCCTCTATTTTTTTCCAGCAGGGACAGATACACAACAAGAATATGAGAGAGAAAAGAGACGAGTGGAAATGTTGGACAGAAAAAACCACGGCTCCCTAGTGCTGTTGAAAGGCATAAAAAAAGAACTAGAAAGAAAGTTGTTTTTTTGCTTCACCAGCGAAGTGATGGTGATGACGATGATGACGATGGCGGTGATGATGTTGTTGTTGCTGCGGTATTCTGTTTTTGCTTGCACCAGAAACAACTACACATATTGTCGCCATCACATATCATTGAACGTAATAATGTTCATCCAAACGTGGATCTGCCTATATATAGTTCAAGAAAGCTTTTGCTTTTTGGCTCTAAAAGAAAAAAAGAAAAAACGTATGCTCTCCATTGACAATTTTTACTTCGTTCAATTCTGCATCGTTTTTTTTTTCTTTTTTTTTTTCTTCTGCAATGCTAATCCTCCATATCTCAGAAATGTTCCATTGCCGAGTAGGAAAAACAGCGGTGGCACACCAATCATCGCTATGGACTGCTGCTAACTTTTTACAAATTTTGCCATCTATAGTTCAAGTCCTCGGAATGAAACGGTGAATAAGGGGCGGAGGAGAGGTAAATGCTTAAAACAATGAAGGATTTACAAATATTCTGAATTTTCAGATATTTGTATTAAACTTATTTTTTTAATTGTTTCTTTCGTTTTTGAGAATTGTACGCGATGGTACAATGAAACTGCTGTTCCAAAACCGTTTAATTTACATATGACGTGTTGTTAATACTGCCAAATATAGTTCCTTAATTAATTAAAACTTTTTACTACTTATAGCTGTATAAGTTAAGTCTACAATTTTTAATAAGCATTTTGTTTGTTCAAAGTTTTCTATTTGTTCATTTCAAGCAAATATACATATTCATTGGTTCAGCGCTGGTGATCATATCAAACCACCAGTTTAGGATTATCCGTTTTTATTGAACTGCAAAAATATCACATTTATATTGATGGCGTATGTAATTGTTTTTTTTTTCCAATGCTGCCAACAAATGGTTTTTTGAACAGCCTCATTTTTTACACTTCTCTTTGTTCAAAAAAAAAAAATAAGAAATAAAACAATACCAGTCACTAGTGAAGACTTTTTTTGTTTTTTTTTTTCG